GAAATTGTAAGTGATTGCTGATTCTTCTCCATAGCCGTTTGCGCCTTAAAACCCTTTAGGTGCATTCATTTTAACGCTTGTTCTAAGGTTGTACCCTAAAAGCAAGTTTGTGTTTGTACCTGTACCTCTCTATTCGGAATAGATGTACTGTTTTGCAGAAGAATAGCCTACTAGGTGTAAACTGCTGTTGGCTCCTCCTGGTGATATTTTGGACATTGCTACTAAGTTTGTAACTGGTAACCTGGAGTCTCTGTATTATTGCCTCTCTCTCTGAGTCGAGGTACTGTTTTTGGTAACAAATGTAGCTAAATAGGCTGTCCAGTGTTTGACTGGTAGCCTACGGTTATTGAGCTGCTGCTAGCAATAGAGTATGGTCTGAATATCCACCCTATTGTTAAGAATGTTCTGCTAGTGAGTGCAAGGGGGGTTGCCATGCTCCCTCATCGAGACTAGATTTGACTTAGTCGTACATTTTGATTTAGACACTTATCTTAAGGTGATAATCTATAACTGTGGTGTCTCCAAGTACCCTTCTCATTGAGGTAGGTGTACACTTTTATTTTACCGAAGGAATGTTCAGTGTCAACTAATATCGCCATTGATTGTCCTGCCAGTAAGTGAAGTGAGGCTGAGCATCCCCACTTGCCTATACAACTGTGACTAATATGTTTGTTTTGGCACTCCTGTAAAGGTGAACCTAACTATTGTGCCCACTAGTATCCATCTCTTTGTATTGGGCGTACTGTTTTTGCGTGTCCAAATTAGCATCGCTAATAGTCAAAGCCTATGCATGACAACCCCCTGGGCACACCCTGGTTGAATCAAATATGTTTCCACGTAATTTCAATGAAATTACGTTGAACCAACGTGGAATAGATGTTGAATTGACGTCTGTGCCCAGCGGGAAGGTACACAACCTTATTTATATAATAATTATAGGAGCCACATCCCATATCGTATTGTCCCACACTAACATCCTGTAATCCCATGGTCTGGTTATGTTTGTTATAGCTAAATGACTTGTAAATACTGTAGCTATTGAAATAGCTGTTCTATGATACAGCCTACAGTAGCAGCCAATGTGTGATGTTCCATGTAGACATACATTCCATGAGCCTTTTGAAAACATTAACCTTTTTAGCCACTTGTCCTTCAGACAAGTACACTATATATACAAATGTATGTAGACAACCCTTCAAATGAGTGGATTTGGCTATTTCAGCCACACCTGTTGCTGACAGGTGTATAACATCTAGCACACAGTCATGCAATCTCCATAGACAAACATTGGCAGTAGAAAGAGCTCAGTGACTTTCAACGTGGCACCGTCATAGGATGCCATCTTTCCAACAAGTCAGTTCGTCAAATTTCTGCCCCGCTAGAGCTGCCCCAGTCAACTGTAAGTGCTGTTATTCTGAAGTGTGTCACGTTCGTTGATGAACGGGTCAGACCAAGGCGGAGCATGATATGTAAACATGTTTATTACATGAATAAACACACAACAAAACAATAAACCAACGACACGTGACGTCCTAAGGTACACACAACAAACCTCACACGGAACAAGATCCCACAACCCACTAGTGCCAATAGGCTGCCTAAGTATGGTCCCCAATCAGAGACAACGAGCGACAGCTGCCTCTGATTGGGAACCACACCGGCCAACATAGATCTAGACATACTAGACTTATAACATAGACCTACACCACATAGAAAATACACACCCTGACTCAACAAATAAGAGTCCCCAGAGTCAGGGCGTGACAAAGTGGAAACATCTAGGAGCAACAACGGCTCAGCCGCAAAGTGGTAGGCCACACAAGCTCACAAAATGGGACCGCTGAGTGCACGTAAAAATCGTCTGTCCTCGGTTGCAACACTCACTACCGAGTTCCAAACTGCCTCTGGAAGCAACGTCAGCTTAAGAACTGTTCGTCGGGAGCTTCATGAAATGGGTTTCCATGGCCGAGCAGCCGCACACAAGCCAAAGATCACCATGCGCAATGCCAAGCATCGGCTGGAGTGGTGTAAAACTCACCGCCATTGGACTTTGGAGCAGTGGAAACGCGTTCTCTGGAGTGATGAATCACGCTTCAATGCCCATGATTTTGGAATGAAATGTTAGACGAGCAGGTGTCCACATACTTTTGTTCTCAAAGTATGAACGAATTCACTGTCCTTTTAACCAAATTCAAGCAGAAACTCATGTCCAACCTGAAGGAAAACACACCCAGATTGTAATCTAATCTAGATTGTAATCTAATCAACTAAATTTAAATGATAGGATTTAAACTGTCGCTCCTTCTTTGAACTATCTGCTGTCCAATGAACTGAATAACACAGTTTTCCTGTAGCACAACCTGGTCTCAGATTATTTTGTATTATTCTGTACGTAAATTCGGGAGACCCCATTTAGTATGATATGTTACGTTTCGTATGGTATGTATTAATTTGTGGATGTCCATCATCCATTTTGTATGACATGTTACGAATTACAATTCGTATATGTTATGAATTGCAATTAGTACAATATATTACGAATATGCAAATTGTACAATATGTTACGAATTTGTGAAACGTATGATATGTTACGAATGACATTTTGTTGTTGCTAACGTTAGCTAGGTGGCTAAAGCTAACGTTGAATAGCTGGCTAACGTTAGCTAGGTTAGGGGTTAGGGTTAAGGTTAGTAGTTAGGTTAAAGCGTTAAGGTTATGGTTAGGGTTATGGGAAGGGTTAGCTAACATGCTAAGTAGTTGCAAAGTAGCTAAAAAGTAGTAAGTAGTAGAAAAGTTGCTAATTAGCTCAAATTCGCCATGATGAGATTTGAACACACAACCTTTGGGCTGCTAGACTTTCTCGAATATGCCTACCTATCCACTCCGACCAACCACCCTTCTTTAGTTTTTTGCCTTAAGTAATCTTCTGTCTTATGTAGGGCTGTTATGGTGAGCTTCATGAAATGGGTTTCCATGGCCGAGCAGTCGCACACAAGTCTAAGATCACCATGCGCAATGCCAAGCGTCAGCTGGAGTGGTGTATAGCTCGCCGCCATTGGACTCTGTAGCAGTGGAAATGCGTTCTCTGGAGTGATGAATCACGCTTCATCATCTGGCAGTCCGACAGACAAATCTGTGTTTGGCGGATGCCAGGAGAATGCTACCTGCCCGAATGCATAGTGCCAACTGTAGAGTTTGGTGGAGGTGGAATAATGGTCTGGGACTGTTTTTCATTGTTCGGGCTAGGCCCCTTAGTTCCAGTGAAAGGACATGTTAACGCTACAGCATACAATGACATTCTAGATGATTCTGTGCTTCCAACTATGTGGCAACAGTTTGGGAAGGCCCTTTCCTGTTTCAGCATGACAATGCCCCCGTGCACAAAGCGAGGTCCATACAGAACTGGTTTGTCGAGATCGGTGTGGAAGAACTTGACTGACCTGCACAGAGCCCTGACCTCAACCCAATCGAACACTTTTGGGATGAATTGGAACGCCGACTGCAAGCCAGGCCTAATCGCCCAACATCAGTGCCCGACCTTACTAATGCTCTTGTTGCTGAATGGAAGCAAGTCGCAGCAGCAATGTCCCACCATCTAGTGGAAAGCCTTTCCAGATGAGTGGAGGCTGTTATAGCAGCAAAGGGGGGACCAACTCCATATTAATGCCCATGATTTTGGAATGAAATGTTTGAAGAGCAGGTGTCCACATACTTTTGGTCATGTAGTGTATGTGACTGAAAATGTTGTTGTATTGTGTTGTATGATGCAAGAAACCACAAGACGAAATGAAATGCATTATTATTCCCATACCATTAACATTAAAGAGAGTTAGACAAAAACATATGCTAGCCTTTGCCTATTGGCTTAGCTTATTCAAGCCTGTCTCAAAATACAACACTGCCCCTTTAAGATATAAAAAATGCTGTTTACCTGACTTGCTTATCAATGATGCCTAGAAATGTACATGTTTTGTGCTCTTGCAGGAATCAATCACTCCCCAACTCACTAACTAGCAAAGAATATGCACAAATGTGCACACGCGGCTACATACATTGATCTCAAAACAAGCGCAATAGAATCCTCCTCCGGTCTGCTCTGCTTAAAACAAAATCACATACTAAGTCTTGTGTTTTTGGTATGTTTCATTGAAAGCGGCTAATATTATGTTGATTCGATCACAATTCCCACAGTACAGGGAAACATTGATATTATAAACCACAGGTGTCAAACTCATTCCGCCGAGTGTCTGCGGGTTTTCGCTCCTCCCTTGATTGATTAATTAAGGTCACTGATTAGTAAAGAACTATCCTGACTAGCAGACACTAGGCCCTACATGTATTGAGTTTGACACCCCTGGTGTTAACTAACGGGGCAAACTCTAGTATAGCTCAATCTCATGTGACTCTGCACGGGCTTGTATAAATCAGCTTAGAGGAAACATTGCTTCTGAAATCCGTTGTTTTGGACTCTGCGTGCCTGGAGAGTTCTCTGAAGACCGTTGGTTCCAGACAAATATGTAAGAGAGTTGTCCAGCTCGATCTCATCTTCCCAGATGTTAATGTGAGCGTGTAATCTGTGTTTGTTACTTTTGTATCTGTTATTATTGGCTATCTTTCCCTTGAAAATTGCTGTCTCTATTCGTATTCAGGACATTCAAACTGCTTCTCTTTTTTCCATTTCATGAAATGCTATGGAAATACCCCACACATTTTCCCTTCCTTTCTTAGTTTGATTCCATTTAGCATTTTGCCAAAATCTTTATTATTCATTCATCCTGTACATTCAGCACATTATCCTGGTTATTTCTTAATAAATCTGTTGTTTATAAAGTATCTACTGTTCTCCATGAATGCGTTGCCTTGTCATTTAAATGTACTCAATTGCCTTCAGATAGAATTATATGATAAGTTGTATTTATCCCTTGTTGCTAAATGATAGTTTCTTAATGACTCAGAACAAACAAGTGGTGCTCGATTAATTAATTCACATAGACACTCCTTTACACCTGGGAAGCGTCAAGGGGAGGGGAATGGTAAATGGTATGGTAATGTGAACTGTGCTGCCATGAGGCTTAGCACCAGTACCTGTGGTCTCTTCTGGTGAGTGACAGACCACCTCCCCCACCACCACCACCGCACTCAGGCCCTCCAGCCAGCGCTTCAGAGGGGCCGCATCACACCTGCACTCCCATGGGTTCTGCTGCAGGTCCACCTGGGAGGAGATAATGACAAAAGGAATGTGATTGGTGCCGTACAAAATTATACATATCTGGACTAGTCCAGTTAGATGCTCTAGGATCCCCTTTACAGACAGACTGACACACACATCTGTGCCCATACACTTTGCACTTTACACACAAACACCTATACCCATACACACCGCCCCACAACACACACCCTGTCTGCACACGCACGTAACCCCCTACAAAGACCCCTCCCCATCCCTTCCTCCCCCTACCTGCACCAGTCCAGTGAGGTGCTCTAACACCCCCTCTACAGGCAGGCTGAGGAAGTGGTTGTTGCGGAGGTTGAGGCGGGAGAGGGAGATGCCCTGGAACACTCCGACAGGAAGTGACCTCAGCAGGTTAGCGTTGAGGAAGAGCAGCTGGAGAGACGGCATGGGGCTGAACACTCCCGCCTCCACCACACCGATCTCATTGTACTCAAAGTACAGGTACCTACAGGGAGACATGATCATATAGAAGCCAGGAGTGTGTGTGTGTGTGTGTGTGCATGTGTGTGCCTGTCAGTCCTACCTGAGGTTAAGAAGACCCAGGAACATGTGTGGGCTAAGCCTCTGCAGTTTGTTGCCGTTCAGGTAGAGACTCCTCAGGGTCGGCAGGCTGGAGAGCGCTCCCTCCTGGAGAACCAGACAGAGAGAAAGAGAGAGAGAAAGGAGAGAGAGTGACAAAGAGAGAGAGGGGGGGGGGGGGGGGAGAGAGAGAGAGCGTGACACACGGAGAGAGCGAGCGAGCGAAAGAGAGAGAGAGAGACAGAGAGGGAGCAAAAGAGAAGGTAAATACAGGGGCGTCTTGCCCATTGCGCTACAGGGCCCCTCAATTTTATCCATGTGTACGCTGTAATCTAGGTTATAGGCCTATTGTTTATTTTTTACGCATCATTAAATCATAGATATCAAACGTGGCCATTAGTTCTCCCCGTGTATGAAGCCTCTGGCAAAACATAATCTGAACCCTAGGAGATCCTCTGGCTAAAGATGACCTGAATAAAGGAGATCCTCTGGCTAAAGACAACCTGAATAAAGGAGCTCCTCTCGCTAAAGACAACATTAATAAATGAGATCCTCTGGCTAACGACAACCTGAATACAGGAGATCCTCTGGCTAATGACAACCTGAATAAAGGAGATCCTCTGGCTAAAGACAACCTGAATACAGGAGATCCTCTGGCTAAAGACAACCTGAATACAGGAGATCCTCTGGCTAATGACAACCTGAATACAGGAGATCCTCTGGCTAACGACAACCTGAATAAAGGCGATCCTCTGGCTAACAACAACCTGAATAAAGGAGATCCTCTGGCTAACAACAACCTGAATAAAGGAGATCCTCTGGCTAACAACAACCTGAATAAAGGAGATCCTCTGGCTAACGACAACCTGAATAAAGGAGATCCTCTGGCTAACAACAACCTGAATAAAGGAGATCCGGTTGTTTCCCAGGTGAAGCAGATCCAGACTGGAAAAATTCCAGAAATCTGACTTATAGATCCACTGGATGAGGTTGCCGCTGAGGTACAGCTTCCGTCCGTTGAGGGGGCGTGGCGTGAGCTGGGACACGTTATGGAAGCCCCTCTCCTTACAGTTGACTGTCAACCCTAGGTCTGGAACAATTATAGTGAATCAACTTTATTTGTACAGCTCTTTTCATACAACATTTCAGCCCAAATTGTTTTGCATTGAGCACATATGCAAAGGTAGTCTCAGCAGTATGACATCATCAGACACAGCGGGGCGACTTCCTGTTTACAGACAACAACATCATTCAGATTTGTCACTGCTGGTGCGTAGTGCCATGATTGTCCCTATAGTTTGTGTCCCTTGTGGCATGGCCACATTGTGAAGAGCCCAATAGTAGCAGTCTTGGCCTATTCAAATGTTGTTGTTGTTTATATCTGTGAGCAGGAAGTCACCCCGCTGTGTGTGATGATGTCACACTGCTGAGCCAAAGAGGTACCATCCAAACTGTACCTGAGATGTGGAGGTTACAGGTGCACCCCAGAGGACAGATGATGGGGATGGGGGGGCGAGTCTGGTACCCCGCGATGGGAGGGGGCTGGTTGAGGAGGAGGCTACGCTGGGTGGGGGGCGTCCTGGAGGGCCGGGGACGCTTGGTGGGCCGAGGGGACCTGTCTCTCTCCCTCCGCTCCGCTGATGATGAAGACGTTGACGAAGATGAGGTATGTGTGTTCTGATGGTGAACCATGGAGGATGGCTTGGTGGGTCTGGGCATCCCAGGGTTGGGGTTCGCTTTGGGGTTAGAGGGCGGATGCTGAGGAGGCTGTACCCCTCCTTGCTTCTCCCTCTCTCCCTCCTTCTCCTTCTCCTTTTCCCCCTCTCCCTCCACCTCTCCAGCACACAGCTCTTTGCGTGGTATCTCCCTCAGGTCTTTCCCGTGCAGGTGGAAGGGGTATTCGCAGGTGATGTCCCCCACCACCGCAGTGTAGGGGATGTGTCCCAGCCAGGTCTGCAGCTGGACAGCCTCACAGCCACAGATCCAGGGGTTCTCCTCCAGCTGGAGCTCCATCAGGCTGCGGCCCACGTACTCCAGGGTCCCGGCGTAGGCCAGGCTCTTCAGACGGTTCCCCCGCAGGTCCAGGTGGGTCAGAGACACAGATCTGGGGGTGGAAGGGATCATTAGGGCTGGGGTCAATTCCATTTCAATTCAGGAATGAAACTGAAATTCCAATTTCCACATTGCGAAAGATTGGAATTGGTGATCATGTTATTGAAGAATAAGGAACATGATTGATACATGTTATAAATGTGATTGAAAACAACTTCTTCAGACAGAGTGAGAAACAGACCCATCATGTGGACATGGTAAGCCACGTGTAACACAGTGAAGGGTTAATAAGCAGGTAGATACCTGAAGAGGTGAGGAGGTAGAGAAGGGATCAGGTTGTCATTGAGGATGAGCACGCGTAGTTTATGCAGGTAGCATAGCGCCCCGCTGTCGATGCGTTTGCTGACATTGTAGTCAGCCTGTAGGTAGAGGGGATAGAGGTAAAGTCAAATGACACAAACAGGAACTCACCCTGCTCAGGAGATCACACATCATTTATTATCATTGTCACAGTAAGTATGGATGATTACATTTACATCATTTAGCAGACGCTCTTATCCAGAGCGACTTACAGTTAGTGAATACATGTATTTATTTTTTTATACTGGCCCCCCGTGGGAATCAAACCCACAACCCTGGCGTTGCAAACACCATGCTCTATCAACTGAGCTACATCCCTACCGGCCATTCCCTCCCCTACCCTGGACGACGCTGGGCCAGTTGTGCGCCGCCCATGAGTCTCCCAGTCGCAGCCGGCTACGACAGAGCCTGGATTCGAACCAGGATCTCTAGTGGCACAGTTAGCACTGCGATGCAGTGCCTTAGACCACTGCGCCACTCAGGAGACATGATGACTGATCACAGTGTTTATTGAGGGTTCTGATGGGTAGTAATGATGGCAGGCCTACCTGCAGGTACTCCAGTGTCTCCAGGCCAGAGAAGGTGTCGTTGTGGAACACCTCCAGTTTGTTCTCGTGGAGGTAGACATGGCTCACAAATTGATGGGTTTTTGAATTATGATATGCAAATTAGCTAATATTATCTCAACTGTGTCCTTGCTATATCTGGGCGGAGCATGTTGATATTAATCTCGATGGTGCCACCCTCAAAACAAGACCTTGGTTATGAAATCTATCTAAGTGCTGTGAAAAAGTATTTGCCCCCTTTCTGAGTTTCTCTTTTTGCATATTTTTTATACTGAGTAATATCAGATCGTAAACCAAAACCTAATATTAGATAAAGGGAACCTGAGTTTACAAATAACACAAAATATATACTTATTTTATTTATTTAATTAACAAAGTTATGCAACACCCAATTCCACTGTGTGAAAAAGTAATTGCCTCCTTACACTCAATAACTGGTTGTGCCACCTTTAGCTGCAATGACTGCAACCAAATGCTTCCTGTAGTTGTTGATCAGTCTCTCACATCGCTGTGGAGGAATTTTGGCCCACTCTTGCATGCTGAACAGCTTTAACTCAGCGACATTTGTGGATTTTCAAGCATGAACTGCACGTTTCAAGTCCTTCCACAACATCTCGATTGGGATTAGGTCTGGACTTTGACTAGGTCATTCCAAAACTTCACGTGTTGCTTTTTAGCTATTTTCATGTAAGTCTTAATTGTGTGTTTTGGAATATTGTTTATTGCTGCATGACCATTGCCTTAACAGAAGGAACCATGAATTCTGCACTGTATCAGAGAATTCTACAGGAGAATGTCACGCCATTCCTCTGTGAGCTGAAGCTGAAGCGCGCACACACAAACACACACACACACACACACACACACACACACACATACACAATTACCTTTTTATATATATAAATGAATGAACAAATGTTGTCACGTTAAGACGCATGTTACACTTATGTAGTGGAGTACACACACCCTCAAAAAAGCTTTTGTTGAATATAAATGACTGAACAAATGTTGTTGTCACATTACAGCACGTTACACTTGTGTAGTTGAAGAAATGGAGCCTTAAAAATGCACATATACAGTGGGGAAAAAAAGTATTTAGTCAGCCACCAATTGTGCAAGTTCTCCCACTTAAAAAGATGAGAGAGGCCTGTAATTTTCATCATAGGTACACGTCAACTATGACAGACAAAATGAGAAAAAAAAATCCAGAAAATCACATTGTAGGATTTTTAATGAATTTATTTGCAAATTATGGTGGAAAATAAGTATTTGGTCAATATCAAAAGTTTCTCAATACTTTCTTATATACCCTTTGTTGGCAATGACACAGGTCAAACGTTTTCTGTAAGTCTTCACAAGGTTTTCACACACTGTTGCTGGTATTTTGGCCCATTCCTCCAAGCAGATCTCCTCTAGAGCAGTGATGTTTTGGGGCTGTCGCTGGGCAACACGGACTTTCAACTCCCTCCAAAGATTTTCTATGGGGTTGAGATCTGGAGACTCCAGGACCTTGAAATGCTTCTTACGAAGCCACTCCTTCGTTGCCCGGGCGGTGTGTTTGGGATCATTGTCATGCTGAAAGACCCAGCCACGTTTCATCTTCAATGCCCTTGCTGATGGAAGGAGGTTTTCACTCAAAATCTCACGATACATGGCCCCATTCATTTTTCCTTTACACGGATCAGTCGTCCTGGTCCCTTTGCAGAAAAACAGCCCCAAAGGATGATGTTTTCACTCCCATGCTTCACAGTAGGTATGGTGTTCTTTGGATGCAACTCAGCATTCTTTGTCCTCCAAACACGACAAGTTGAGTTTTTGCCAAAAAGTTATATTTTGGTTTCATCTGACCATATGACTTTCTCCCAATCCTCTTCTGGATGCACTCTAGCAAACTTCAGACGGGCCTGGACATGTACTGGCTTAAGCAGGATTTGAGTCCCTGGTGGCGTAGTGTGTTACTGATGGTAGGCTTTGTTACTTTGGTCCCAGCTCTCTGCAGGTCATTCACTAGGTCCCCCCGTGTGGTTCTGGGATTTTTGCTCACCGTTCTTGTGATCATTTTGACCCCACAGGGTGAGATCTTGCGTGGAGCCCCAGATCGAGGGAGATTATCAGTGGTCTTGTATGTCTTCCATTTCCTAATAATTGCTCCCACAGTTGATTTCTTCAAACCAAGCTGCTTACCTATTGCAGATTCAGTCTTCCCAGCCTGGTGCAGGTCTACAATTTTGTTTCTGGTGTCCTTTGACAGCTCTTTGGTCTTGGCCATAGTGGAGTTTGGAGTGTGACTGTTTGAGGTTGTGGACAGGTGTCTTTTATACTGATAACAAGTTCAAACAGGTGCCATTAATACAGGTAACGAGTGGAGGACAGAGGAGCCTCTTAAAGAAGAAGTTACTGGTCTGTGAGAGCCAGAAATCTTGCTTGTTTGTAGGTGACCAAATACTTATTTTCCACCATAATTTGCAAATAAATTCATTAAAAATCCTACAATGTGATTTTCTGGATTTTCTTTTCTCAATTTGTCTGTCATAGTTGACGTGTACCTATGATGAAAATGACAGGCCTCTCTCATCTTTTTAAGTGGGAGAACGTGCACAATTGGTGGCTGACTAAATACTTTTTTTCCCCACTGTACAATGTAATCTTTATGACATTGCTGTTGACTCACTTGGCAAACTTCTCTCAACTGCTGCCATTTCATAGATGATGTCAATAATGACAATAATGATAATAATAATAATAATAATAATAATATACAAATGCAAGGGAAGGACCATATAGCTCCTATTAAATTACTATTGTAATTCCTAATTCTATGCCGTTAACTCCCTTGGCAAACTTCTCTCAACATTAAAACAGGTGAGTGGTGTCCTCTTGTGGTCATACTGGGACTGCACAATTCACTGCTAAATCACAGATAAATAGCATAACACACATAACATCAAGATTCAATACTTTATTTCCATCCCAAACAAAGACTATTAGGATTTTTAAATGTTGAAACAGGGACAAAACAGTATTAAGAATATCCATTTAAAAAATGCTTAGAAAAAATACATTGTATTTTCACAGCCGTCAGCACTTCGAAAGAGGCTGTTTGCTGGGTGGGAATGGTTGCTTCTTTGAAATGGGTGTGAATTTCAAAGGTTCTGAAATGTCCTTTCAATATATGTAAAGAACTTGTAACTACATATTTACACTACTTGTAGTCCATGCACATACTGACAACATATAACGAACATAGCCGCGGGTAGTAGTTTGGGGGTGGAGGTGCTGCGATTTTGTTTGAATAGTCTCCTAACCCACAGAAAACTGGACACTTGAATGTTCTTGCACTGTTCTTATTTAACGTGTCTAGAACATTAATATTTTAGAATCTGAGAACATGGCAACCATGTTCTGTGTATGTTTGGTAGGACATTGATGGAATATCCTTCTAACTCACAGAAAACTGGACACATGAATGTTCTTGCAACGTTCCCATTAAGTTCTGAGAACATAGTAACCACGTTCTGGGTAAGTTCTATTTTACATTAAGGGAATGGTCTCTTGGAAACATTCCTTGCACTTCACGGGAACATTCCTATGAAAACATTAGTTAATAATGACGTAATGAGACTCTTAAGTGAAAGTTCTCTAAAGTTGAGGGAACGTTTGTTGTTAGCTGGGGAGCTGGGGTAAAGGAAGATGGGCAGATACACAGTGGTGGAAAAAGTACTCAATTGTCATACTTGAGTAAAAGTAAAGATACCTTAATAGAAAATAACTCAAGTAAAAGTGAAAGTTGCCCAGTAAAAATCTAAGTCTAAAAGTATCTGGTTTTAAATGTACTTAAGTACAGTGGTGGAAAAAGTACTAATTTGTCATATTTAACTGCTGTCATACTGTAAAAGTAAATGCTATACATAAAATTCCTTATATTGAGCAAACAAGATGGCACGATTGTTTTTTAAATTTGTATTTACCGAAAGACAGGGGCACACACCAACACTCTGGACATAATTGACAAACACAGTATTTGTGTTTAGTGGGTCGGCCAGATCAGCAACAGTAGGAATGACAACGCATTATATTGATAGGTGGAATTGGACCAAATTGCTCTCCTGTATGATATGATGGGGTAGGATGGGATATGATGGGATAGGATGGGATGACTGACTGTCCTTCCAACCCTAACTGAAAGTGCACAAGGAAAACACAAAGCAACCTGCTGACGATGTGAAAATGATCCTAAAACAAAGCAGAAAACCACACAAATAGTATGTCTGACTAGAGAATAACAATTGATTGCAGGAGACAGTAACCAATAGTCAACTGATATTGAAACAGACAAAATACTATAAGCTAAAGAAAACCTTAAAAAATAAAGAAATGAACATTCTAAATGTATTTACATTTTAGTCATTTAGCAGACGTTCTTATCCAGAGCAACTTACAATTTCAGTGAGCGCATTCATTTTTTCATACTGGCCGCCCGTGGGAATCGAACTCACAACCCTGGCGATGCAAGCGCCATGCTCTACCAACTGAGCTACAGGAGGATAATGAGTAAATTCTATTTTCAGGGAAAATATATGATATTATAAAGTACGTAAAGTAAAGTTGTAATAAATATGAATAGTCAAATCAAGTACATATATCCCCAAAAACGACTTAAGTAGTACTTTAAAGTATTTTGGGGGGTGGTCCCGCCCATAGCGACGGGTGTGATGATGGTTGCCCGGTGTGAGTATTGATGGGTTGCCAGGACCAGGGATTAGTAAACTTTCGAGCGCCGGAGCGGGAGTAGACGTGACAAACCCAGGTATTTGAAAATAGTATTTGAAATACTTCCAATAGAACTATCTGATTTGACATCTGATACATAGACAAATGGAAAGCCTGTAGACCTATACTTCAGACCGTTTCAAGTTATGTGAAGTCCATGGAGAATAAGAGCACTTCCTCCCAGCTGCCCACTGCACTGAGGCTAGGAAACACTATCACCACCGATAAATCTACAATAATCGAGAATTTCAACAAGCATTTTACTACAGCTGGCCATACTTTCCATCTGGCTACCACTACCCCGGCCACCAACTCTGCACCCTCTGCTGCAACTTGCCCATGCCCCCCCCGCTTCTCCTTCACACAAATTCAGACAGCTGATGTTTTGAAAGCGCTGCAAAATCTGGACCCCTACAAATCAGCTGGGCTAGACAATCTGGACCCTTTCTTTCTAAAACTAGCCGCCGAAATTGTCGCAACCCCTATTACTAGTCTGTTCAACCTCTCTTTCATAACGTCTGAGATCCCCAGAGATTGGAAAGCTGCCGCGGTCATCCCCCTCTTCAAAGGGGGTGACACTCTAGATCCAAACTGCTACAGACCTATATCCATCCTGCCCTGCCTTTCGAAAGTATTTGAAAGCCAAGTTAACAAACAGATCACCGACCATTTCGAATACAACCGTACCTTCTCCGCTATGCAATCCGGTTTCCGAGCTGGTCATGGGTGCACTTCAGCCACGCTCAAGGTCCTAAACGATATTATAACCGCGATTGATAATAGACAGTACTGTGCAGCCGTCTTCATCGACCTGGCCAAGGCTTTCGACTCTGTCAACCACCGCATTCTTATTGGCAGACTAAATAGCCTTGGTTTCTCAAATGACTGCCTCGCCTGGTTCACCAACTACTTCTCAGATAGAGTTCAGTGTGTCAAATCGGAGGGCCTGTTGTCTGGACCTATGGCAGTCTCTATGGGGGTGCCACAGGGTTCAATTCTTGGGCCGACACTTTTCTCCGTGTATATCAATGATGTCGCTCTTGCTGCTGGTGACTCTCACCTCTACGCAGACGACACCATTTTGTATACATCTGGCCCGTCATTGGACACTGTGTTAACAAACCTCCAAACAAGCTTCAATGCCATACAACACTCCTTCAGTAGCCTCCAACTGCTCTTAAACACTAGTAAAACTAAATGCATGCTTTTCAATCGAACGCTGCTGGCACCCGCCCACCCGACTAGAATCACCACTCTCGACGGGTCTGACATAGAGTATGTGGACAACTACAAATACCTAGGTGTCTGGTTAGACTGTAAACTCAACTTCCAGACTCACATAAAGAATCTCCAATCCAAAGTTAAATCTAGAATCGGCTTCCTATTTCGCAACAAAGCCTCCTTCACTCATGCTGCCAAACATGCCCTCGTAAAACTGACTATCCTACCGATCCTTGACTTCGGCGATGTCATTTAGAAAATAGCCTCCAACACTCTACTCAGCAAATTGGATGTAGTCTATCACAGTGCCATCCGTTTTGTCTCCAAAGCCCCATACACTACCCACCACTGTGACCTGTACGCTCTTGTTGGCTGGTCCTCACTACATGTTCGTCGTCAAACCCACTGGCTCCAGGCCATCTATAAATCACTGCTAGGAAAATCCCCGCCTTATCTTAGCTCATTGGTCACCATAGCAGCACCCACCCGTAGTCTGCGCTCCAGCAGGTATATCTCACTGGTCATTCCCAAAGCCAACACCTCCTTTGGCCGCCATTCCTTCCAGTTTTCTGCTGCCAATGACTGGAACGAATTGCAAAAATCTCTGAAGCTGGAGACTCTTATCTCCCTCAATAACTTTAAGCATCAGTTGTCAGAGCACCTTACCGATCACTGCACCTGTACACAGCCCATCTGAAATTAGCCCACCCAACTACCTCATCCCTATATTGTTATTTATTTTGCTATTTTGCACCCCAGTATCTCTATTTGCACATAATCTCTTGCACATCTAGCATTCCAGTGTTAATACTATTGTAATTATTTTGCACTATAGCCTATTTATTGCCTTACCTCCATAACTTGCTACATTTGCACACACTGTATATATATATTTTCTGTTGTATTTTTGACTTTATGTTTTTTACCTCATATGTAACTCTGTGTTGTTTTTATTGCACTGCTTTGCTTTATCTTGGCCAGGTCGCAGTTGTAAATGAGAACCTGTTCTCAACTGGCTTACCTGGTTAAATAAAGGTGAAATAAATAAAATAAAATAAAAATAAATGTGCAAGTAATTATATGATTATAAGCAAAGATATGTGAGGATGTGGTGGTCTTCGATCTTGGTCGTCATCTTGGCATCCTGGTCAGCCCCCACAGTGTGAGTGCGTGTGTGTGTATGTGTGACCAACAAACAAACGACAACAACTTCGACTTAAATTCCTTACATTCATACACATAATGTTATTATGCAATACAAAACAGCAAGTGCCAGAAGTTTTCCCACCAAGGCACAGAGTTTTTCCTGGTCAAGACAATTCTTACTGTGTTTTAAATCAACTCATAAAATGTCCTAAGGTCTAAGGACCCGGGGCTGGGTTTCTACTAAGCTAACATAGGGAATTGTTTTAAGATGGTCATACCAAGGATCATTTAGCTATTTTATTTTGAATTTTAGGACACCTGTATGTATCAAATAAAATAAATAAATACAATATTTGATGAAACATTGAATTTGGCCATACTGCAATTAGCCCATAGAAACTAATGGAAAGTATGTTTTGAAGTGTCTGTCCTATATCTGGGAAACATTTATTGAGGAATTATCCATCCGTATGCCTTTTGACGTGGAAATGCACCATTCACTTCCATACATTTTTCGGCCTGGTACCAGGTTATCTTCAGACGAGTCCCGTGACACAGTTTTATTTTTTAAAACATTTGAGTCATTTAGCAGACGCTCTTATCCAGAGCGACTTACAGAAGTAAGTGCATACATTATCATATTTGTTCATACTGGTCCCTGTGGGAATTGAACCACCAACCCTGGTGTTGCAAGTGCCATGCTCTACCAGCTGAGCAACATGGGACCAGACTGACTTTGATTTAATACAATTTCCACGGGGGTGCGGACATCAACTCTAGGGTGTTGTAACACAGATTTTTACACTGTGTTACCCTGCACGGTTGAGTGGGTTGTTAAATCCTGAAACTGTAAAACTGTTGGGGGAAAAACCGGTTCCCTTCAAATCAAATCAAATCAAATTTTATTGGTCACATGCGCCGAATACAACAGGTGCAGACATTACAGTGAAATGCTTACTTACAGCCCTTAACCAACAGTGCATTTATTTTAAACAAAAAAAGTAAGAATAAAACAACAACAAAAAAAGTGTTGAGAAAAAAAGAGCAGAAGTAAAATAAAGTGACAGTAGGGAGGCTATATATACAGTAAAATAAAGTGACAGTAGGGAGGCTATATATACAGGGGGGTACCGTTGCAGAGTCAATGTGCGGGGGCACCGGCTAGTTGAGGTAGTTGAGGTAATATGTACATGTGGGTAGAGTTAAAGTGACTATGCATAAATACTTAACAGAGTAGCAGCAGCGTAAAAAGGATGGGGTGGGGGGGCAGTGCAAATAGTCCGGGTAGCCATGATTAGCTGTTCAGGAGTCTTATGGCTTGGGGGTAGAAGCTGTTGAGAAGTCTTTTGGACCTAGACTTGGCACTCCGGTACCGCTTGCCGTGCGGTAGCAGAGAGAACAGTCTATGACTAGGGTGGCTGGAGTCTTTGACAATTTTGAGGGCCTTCCTCTGACACCGCCTGGTATAGAGGTCCTGGATGGCAGGGAGCTTTGCCCCAGTGATGTACTGGGCCGTACGCACTACCCTCTGTAGTGCCTTGCGGTCAGAGGCCAAGCAGTTGCCATACCAGGCGGTGATGCAACCAGTCAGGATGCTCTCGATGGTGCAGCTGTAGAATTTTTTGAGGATCTGAGGACCCATGCCAAATCTTTTTAGTCTCCTGAGGGGGAATAGGCTTTGTCGTGCCCTCTTCACGACTGTCTTGGTGTGTTTGGACCATGATAGTTCGTTGGTGATGTGGACACCAAGGAACTTGAAGCTCTCAACCTGTTCCATTACAGCCCCGTCGATGAGAATGGGGGCGTGCTCAGTCCTCTTTTTTTTCCTGTAGTCCACAATCATCTCCTTTGTCTTGGTCACGTTGAGGGAGAGGTTGTTGTCCTGGCACCACACGGCCAGATCTCTGACCTCCTCCCTATAGGCTGTCTCATCGTTGTCGGTGATCAGGCCTACCACTGTTGTGTCGTCGGCAAACTTAATGATGGTGTTGGAGTCGTGCCTGGCCATGCAGTCATGGGTGAACAGAGAGTACAGGAGGGGACTGAGCACGCACCCCTGAGGGGCCCCCGTGTTGAGGATCAGTGTGGCAGATGTGTTGTTACCTACCCTTACCACCTGGGGGCGGCCCGTCAGGAAGTCCAGGATCCAGTTGCAGAGGGAGGTGTTTAGTCCCAGGATCCTTAGCTTAGTGATGAGCTTAGAGGGCACTATGGTGTTGAATGCTGAGCTGTAGTCAATGAATAGCATTCTCACGTAGGTGTTCCTCTTGTCCAGGTGGGAAAGGGCAGTGTGGAGTGCGATAGAGATTGCATCATCTGTGGATCTGTTGGGGCGGTATGCAAATTGGAGTGGGTCTAGGGTTTCTGGGATTATGCTGTTGATGTGAGCCATGACCAGTCTTTCAAAGCACTTCATGGCTACAGACGTCAGTGCTACGGGTCGGTAGTCATTTAGGCAGGTTATCTTAGAGTTCTTGGGCACGGGGACTATGGTGGTCTGCTTGAAACATGTTGGTATTACAGACTCAGTCAGGGACATGTTGAAAATGTCAGTGAAGACACTTGCCAGTTGGTCAGCACATGCTCGGAGTACATGTCCTGGTAATCCGTCTGGCCCTGCGGCCTTGTGAATGTTGACCTGCTTAAAAGTCTTACTCACATCGGTTACGGAGAGCGTGATCACATAGTCATCCGGAACAGCTGGTGCTCTCATGCATGCTTCAGTGTTGCTTGCCTCGAAGCGAGCATAGAAGTGGTTTAGCTCGACTGGTAGGCTTGTGTCACTGGGCAGCTCGCGGCTGTGCTTCCCTTTGTAGTCTGTAATAGTTTTCAAGCCCTGCCACATCCGACGAGCGTCAGAGCCAGTGTAGTATGATTCAATCTTAGACCTGTATTGACTCTTTGCCTGTTTGATGGTTCGTCTGAGGTCATAGCGGGATTTCTTATAAGCGTCCGGGTTAAAGTCCCGTTCCTTGAAAGCGGCAGCTCTACCCTTTAGCTCAGTGCGGATGTTTCCTGTAATCCATGGCTTCTGGTTGGGGTATGTACGTACGGTCACTGTGGGGACGACATCATCGATGCACTTATTGATGAAGCCAGTGACTGATGTGGTGTACTCCTCAATGCTGTCTGAAGAATCCCGGAACATGTTCCAGTCTGTGCTAGCAAAACAGTCCTGTAGCTTAGCATCTGCGTCATCTGACCACTTTTTTATTAACCGAATCACTGGTGCTTCCTGCTTCAGTTTTTGCTTATAAGCAGGAATCAGGAGGATAGAGTTATGGTCAGATTTGCCAAATGGAGGGCGAGGGAGAGCTTTGTATGCGTCTCTGTGTGTGGAGTAAAGGTGGTCTAGAGTTTTTTTCCCTCTGGTTGCACATTTAACATGCTGGTAGAAATTAGGTAGAACGGATTTAAGTTTCCCTGCATTAAAGTCCCCGGCCACTAGGAGCGCTGCATCTGGATGAGCGTTTTCCTGTTGATTAATGGCCTTGTACAACTCATTCAGTGCAATCTTAATGCCAGCATTGGTTTGTGGTGGTAAATAGACAGCTATGAAAAATATAGATGAAAACTCTCTTGGTAAATAGTGTGGTCTACAGCTTATCATAAGATACTCTACCTCAGGCGAGCAAAACCTCGAGACTTCCTTAGTATTTGATTTTGTGCACCAGCTGTTGTTTACAAATATACAGAGACCGCCACCCCTTGTCTTACCAGAGTCAGACGTTCTGTAGCCTGCTAGCTGAATGTTATCATTGTTGTCGTTCAGCCACGACTCCGTGAAACATAAGATATTACAGTTTTTAATGTCCCGTTGGTAGGATAACCGTAATCTTAAATCGTCCATTTTATTCTCAAAAGCTTGAACGTTGGCTAATAGGATTGATGGAAGGGGCAGTTTACTCGCTCGCCGTCGGATCCTTACAAGGCACCCGGATCTGCGTCCGCGATATCTCCGTCTCTTCCTCACGCGAATGACGGGGATCTGGGCCTTGTCGGGTGTCTGTAGGATATCCTTCGCGACCGCCTCGTTGAAGAAAAAATCTTCGTCCAATGCGAGGTGAGTAATCGCTGTCCTGATATCCAGAAGCTCTTTTTGGTTATAAGAGACGATGGCAGAAACATTATGTACAAAATAAATTACAAATAACGCGGAAAAACACACATAATAGTACAATTGGTTAGAGGGCTGTAAAACGGCAGCCATCTTCTCCGGCGCTGTTCTGATTCACTGAAGTTCTGCTTTGACTTGTGGGTTATGTTTATGATGTGACCTGACACCCTCATATGGAAAACATTTCCTCATTGAAGAACCAACAAATGACAGTCTGTTCTTGTCATGATTGTTCAAGGAAGTGACGGACCAAGGCGCAGCGTGGTAAGCGTACATACTTTTATTTCAGTACACAACACGAACCAAAACAACAAAACAAACGATACGTGAAGTCCTAGGTTAATACACCAAAACAAACCTTACGGAACAAGATCCCACAATAAACAGTGCCAAACAGGCTGCCTAAGTATGGTCCCCAATCAGAGACCCCTGATTGGGAACCACCCTGGCCAACATAGAAATACATGAACTAGAACAAAACATAGAAAATAACACATAGAAAATCCACACCCTGGCTCAACATATAAGAGTCCCTAGAGCCAGGCCGTGACAGTTCTGGTGGCGCATTCAGGAAATATGAGCTAACTACTTCCTTATAATAATAAGTATGTCGGATTTCTAGGGTGGTCTTGCTTTTAGCAAGCACACTCATTACATTAAAATCTAGTACAAAAGTACAATTTAAAGTAGCCTACATGACATCCTAGTATATTTATTGTAGCCTAAGTATTCTAAAGAACAATTTTAGAAGGTATGAATTTAAAGTACACTTTCAGTGCAAGTACACTTTTTGTAAGTACACTGTAGTACACTTCTTGAGATATGAAAGTCAAGTATACTCTCAAAAATTATAGGCTACTGCAGTACACCTTTCACCACATAAAAATAGAGTACACTTTGAATATACGTACAAATATACATAAGTACAATTGTCATTACATGACAATCCAGTATATTTTTGATAAGCACAGTAAACTGAAATACAATTGGTAGTACATGCCATTGTAGTATATGTATTGTAAGAATACTGAAGCACAACTTTATAAGCTATGAATTTAAAGTACAAAGTCAATCCTACTCATTGTAAAGCGACTTTGAGTCCTTGAAAATATAAAAATGTGCCATCTTTATTATTATTATTATTATTACTTTAACTACAGATAAAATCAAATAAATTTCAAACATACTATTCATACTTTTTTACATTTGTAACACACTTAAAGGTAGACTCAGCAATATGTCGTAGAGACACAAAGTAAACAGCACAGTGGGTCAATTTACGCAACAACTAAGAGCTTTGAAGCACGGGGCTACATTTCTCTGCCGTTTTGGTTCCGTTGCTACCATGCTGTAACAGCGAGAAGTAAACCCATTCACATGCGCAGATACTGTGTGTGACTGTGTAAGAGCGAAGTCTTGCATCTAAATCATCGCAATATCTGTGGTGGTGCTCGAAGCAATATTATTTCACTGAGTCTACCTTTAAGTCTACTTTTTCCCACCCACAAGCACACTAATGATTAATAGCATGATAATCCCAGACTAAGGGGACCTGATTTTGGAAATGAAAATCTGGGATGGCCAACAACAACAAAAAATGTAATGGACCTATATTTAACAATAGATTTTCGCTATGGTCCTTTCAAATACTTAAAACACAGAAATTGATTTCCCCTCCTCAGTTTTCTTAATCTTAGCCTATCTAGTAATATTAGAATCACCCAAACTTGGTAGTCTAAACTGCTGCATGCACTTAATGGCCATGGGCATTGTTGTCCGGGAGAAAATGAGTTTGGTACAGGGATAGATATCATTTAAAAATGCAAATCTGATTGGATACAGCGTTTGCATATTGAAATATCAGCCTGAATTTAACTTCAGAGTTGATTTTTTTGTTTCTGAAGGCTAATCAGGGACATTTTCGGGGACAGCTCTAGCCCGGGAAAGGCCACCAGAATCTGGGACTGTCCCCAGAAATCGGGACATCTCGTCACCCTATCCGGCCATTTACCATTGAAAAAAACCGTCACAGTTCCGGTCTGCTTAAGAATGGGGGGGGGGGGGGGTTCCAATGGCCACCAATGCGATAGCAGCTGTGTCTTGTCTGCTTAGTTCATTGACTGTATATGAACCAGAAAAAATGCGTGAGTGGGATGTCTCGCTTCCTCTTCCATCTCTGACTACTCCTTCCTCTCTCTCTCTCTCCTTCCTTCCTTCCTTCCTTCCTTCCTTCCTTCCTTCCTTCCTTCCTTCCTTCCTTCCTTCCTTCCTTCCTTCCTTCCTTCCTTCCTTCCTTCCTTCCTTCCTTCCTTCCTTCCTTCCTTCCTTCCTTCCTTCCTTCCTTCCTTCCTTCCTTCCTTCCTTCAGATTAGTATTCCTGCTTGCTCCAGTGCTTTATCAACATTAGGCACTAGTTGTCTCTCATAGTCCCAGACCCTCTTGTCTTCATGCAGCTCTTCCTTGGTCAGTCCTCCTCGTAGGAGAACTCTGACATGGATGATATGACACACATTAGGAGGAACCTTCACTGTCTGCCCGAAGTTACGCAGCACAGAGTGGACCGACGTCTGCTCCACTGCCCTGGGGTCAGAGACACAGAGGGGTTGTTAGACAGAGTGGACCGACGTCTGCTCCACTGCCCTGGGGTCAGAGACACAGAAGGGTTGTTAGACAGAGTGGACCGACGTCTGCTCCACTGCCCTGGGGTCAGAGACACAGAAGGGTTGTTAGACAGAGTGGACCGACGTCTGCTCCACTGCCCTGGGGTCAGAGACACAGAAGGGTTGTTAGACAGAGTGGACCGACGTCTGCTCCACTGCCCTGGGGTCAGAGACACAGAAGGGTTGTTAGACAGAGTGGACCGACGTCTGCTCCACTGCCCTGGGGTCAGAGACACAGAAGGGTTGTTAGACATGGTGGACCGACGTCTGCTCCACTGCCCTGGGGTCAGAGACACAGAAGGGTTGTTAGATAGAGTGGACCGACGTCTGCTCCACTGCCCTGGGGTCAGAGACACAGAAGGGTTGTTAGACATGGTGGACCGACGTCTGCTCCAATGCCCTGGAGTCAGAGACACAGAAGGGTTGTTAGACAGAGTGGACCGACGTCTGCTCCACTGCCCTGGGGTCAGAGACACAGAAGGGTTTGTTAGACAGAGGTCCTATTCTATTCTAACCTAGGTCATACTTTCATCTTGTAGGGGTGGTAGATTCTAACCACAGACCTATACTACGAACTCTGAGTTCAACTCGAGATAACCACACGCACTTCTAATGACCTTTTTCACACCATAACCTGCTGAATTTGCAAGATAGCTTTTCTTTCATGTTGATTTTGGGAAAAATGTAAATGTGGCACTGACTCGCCCATGGATTTATGTCAGCTCTGTCTCAATGAAGGGTTCGGTGTTCGACTAGCCACCTGTGACATGCATGCACAGTTACAAGTCTGCTAGAGTGAGTGGCAGGCGGACAAGCAATATCCAACGTCGTAATAGGGATGAAGCCTGAGCTGGAACGTGAACCTACCTGAAGCTGACTAGCTTTAGAAAACCCTAAGTGTATCTAGCTAGCTTCTTAGTATACTACTCTGGGCAATACTATCATCTTGGAGGGGTAGTCCTAGACGAATATGGTATCCTCGTAAAACTGACTATCCTACCGATCTTTGACTTCGGCGATGTCATTTACAAAATAGCCTCCAACACCCTACTCAGCAAATTGGATGTAGTCTATCACAGTGCCATCCATTTTGTCACCAAAGCCCCATATAATACCCACCTTTGTGACCTGTACGCTCTTGTTGGCTGGCCCTCACTACATATTCGTCGCCAAACCCCCGTCTTATCTTAGCTCACTGGTCACCATAGCAACACCCACCCGTAGTCTGCGTTCCAGCAGGTATATCTCACTGGTCATCCCCAAAGCCAACACCTCCTTTGGCCACCATTCCTTCCAGTTCTCTGCTGCCAATGACTGGAACGATCTGCAAAAATCTCTGAAGCTGGAGACTCTTATCTCCCTCACTAACGTTAAGCGTCAGTTGTCAGAGCAGCTTACCGATCACTGCACCTGTACACAGCCTCTCTGAAATTAGCCCACCCAACTACCTCATCCCCATATTGTTATTTATTTTGCTCATTTGCACCCCAGTATCTCTATTTGCACATCATCTTTTACACATCTATCATTCCAGTATTATACGAAATTGTAACTATTTTGCACTATGGCCTATTTATTGCCTTACCTCCATAACTTACTACATTCGCAAACACTGTATATATATTTTCTGTTGTATTTTTGACTTTATGTTTTGTTTACCCCATATGTAACTCTGTGTTGTTGTTTTTATCGCACTGCTTTGCTTTATCTTGGCCAGGTCGCAGTTGTAAATGAGAACTTGTTCTCAACTGGCTTACCTGGTTAAATAAAGGTGAAAAAAGAAAAGTTGGTTCTAAACTGGGCTGTACTATCATCTTGGAGGAGTGGTAGATTCTAACCTGGGCCGTACTATCATCTTGGAGGGGTGGTCGATGCGATAGTCTGGCTCCTCTCTGTAGATGTGCTCCATGATGTTGATCCCTGGAACATTCCTCCAGCGGGGCCGTTTAAACCTTCCACTGGGCTCAAACTGGGACTTAGGGAAGATGTGGTTCTCTATGAGGAACACTTCGGCCTGGGGAGATGCGGGTGGAGTGAGAGAAGGCGAAAGAGAGAGAGAATGAATTCAGATTTTTTTCCTTCATATCCAATCTATTTTTCTCACTTTCCACACTTTTATTGCGTTTTGACCCATATCAGATTAGCATATTCACACTGATGTAGCATATGAAATAGCACACAAACACAATCCTCATTCAATGTATGAAAAATGTATGCACTCACTAATTGTATGTCGCTCTGGATAACAGCTTATGCTAAATGACTAAAATGTCAAATTTCTTGTCACTGTTTCTTTAAATGTTGGGGTGGTTATCTTGGTAATGGTAGGTCATGTGCAAAAACAAACACTTCAGAGCACAACAATTCTGATCTCAATATCCAGACTGAGGATGAGAACCACAGACGGATGTGGTATCAGAACTCAAAAGATAAGATTCCATGGCTGCTTTTACACATGCAGCCCAATTATGATATTTTTTCAGTAATTGGTCTTTTGACCAATCAGTTCAGTTCTAAAAAATATCTGATGTGAGAAGATCTGATGTGATTGGCCCAAAAAACTATTAAAAACCAAAAACACCAAAGACCAGACATGAATGTTTACACATTATTGGATTTGAATCAGATATGCCAAATAATCTGAATTGGGATGCCTGTGTAAACACAGCCTAACATGCACACCACACACATAATGATCTTCCTTAACACACATACACACTACTTCCCTGAGTCCTCCCCCTACCTTTGGGTGTTGCCTCTGAAGTACATCCATCATCTGGGGCAGGGTTTGATGCTGGTATGGAGTTATAATCTCATCTATGTCGTTCAGCAGTACATAGCGTGACTGATACATATGTCTGTAGACACAGTCATTCAGTGTGGTCAACTGGCCGTAGTAGTGGATGTCCCCTCCATGTTCACTGGGTTGCCACCCACGGGACGGGCTCATGTGTTGGTCGATAGGCCAGGGCACCACCTGCAGTCAATCAATAAGTCAATTAATTAATCTTATCTATCTATCCATCCATCAAATCAATCAATTCCTACCTCCACAAAGCCCTCCTGTGTATAAATCTGTAGCAGTCTCTCCAGGTCTGGTCCACAGCTGGTGTTATACACCACAACATGCTGCACTCCCAACAACCTGCAATATAGCAATCAATTAATCAACCAATTGATCAATTGATCAATCAATTAACCAATCACTCAATCAATACCCACTTGTACATCTCCAGAGTCTGGGTGACCTGAAGCACGTTGTTATAATCACCAAATAAATTGGACCAACAGACAGTGAAGTTGAACTGAAACTCCTCTTCCTCCTTTTTCACAAGGTTCTGGATGCGGAGGAAGGATTGGTTCTGAGCGAGCTTGGCGTCAGCTTGTGTGGCGAGGGTCACGTGTGACGGGTTGCAGTCGGGAAGATTCGGACAAAGGACGTCGGTCGTCACGAAGGGGAAACCTTTATCCCAATACAGAACAGGGACACATATATTACAGTATAGGGAAATCTAAATCAACAAACTAATCAGCGAATCACCAAGCCCCTTATTTCATTAATTCAGGTGTTGATTCAGGTGTGTCAGTGCAGGGCTAAAACCAAATAGCAAATTGCAGGTACCAAAGTGGTCAGAGTGCATCTGGACTTCAGCCTTCATTCCATTAGCCCAGTGAGTCCCACAGTAGAACACACAGTACAGAGGCTGGACAGAGTCTCGTCTGAAGATACTGATGATGCGTACGGAGCATCCCGTCACACGATGTTCCTTGTAGGCCCCCACCATGAAGTGTTTGGTGTCGTTGACAGGCGTGATGGACTGGTCAGAGATGTGGCGCAGATAGAGGTGCTGGTGGTTGCCTGGCTGTGACCTGAGGAATCATGGACAGATGTTGTATTTCTACAGCAGAAATGTGTGTCCAAGACAATTTTTTTCCTTTTGCCACTTTTATTATGTTTTCTTGATCGTACGGCATAGTCTTCACGGTACCTGGACAATGTGAAGATGACGAAGACCATGACTACCAGAGCAGAAGCTATCAGTAGAGGGAACATACGCCTCTTCACCATCATGAGCCAGACCTGGGACGGTAGGTGGAGAGTGAGGTGACCTTTGAAGAGAAGGGAAAGTTAATAACGAGTGGCGCAGTGGTCTAAGGCTAGCTGTGCCACTAGAGATCCTGGTTCGAATCCAGGCTCTGTCGTAGCCGGCCGCGACCGGGAGACCCATGGGGCGGCGCACAATTGGCCCAGCGTCGTCCAGGGTAGGGGAGGGAATGGCCGGCAGGGGATGTAGCTCAGTTGGTAGAGCATGGCGTTTGCAACGCCAGGGTTGTGGGTTCGATAAAATAATGTATGTGCTAACTGTAAGTCGCTCTGGATAAGAGTGTCTGCTAAATGACTAAAATGTAAATGTAACGTAGTCGCACTTGCTCTCTGGCTGCGTTTACACAGGCAACCCAATTCTGATCCTTTTTCCCCACAAATTGGTCTTTTGACCAATCAGGTCAGCTCTTTTGCCCATAATTGGGCAAAAATTCAGAATTGGGCTGCCTGTTTAACCTCTTAAGGATCGGACCCTTTTTTAAAATTTTCGCCTAAAATGACATACCAAAATCTAACTGCCTGTAGCTCAGGACCTGAAGCAAGGATATGCATATTCTTGATACCATTTGAAAGGAAACACTTTGAAGTAAATTAATGTACATTTACATTTAAGTCATTTAGCAGACGCTCTTATCCAGAGTGACTTACAAATGGTGCATATCAACTTAGGATGGAACCACAGACGGATGTGGGTCAGAACAAAACTATTAGACTATCCATGGCTATTCCTTAACAGAGGAGGTTCAATTCAAAAGAAGTGGTCATTTACACATGCTGTCCCAGTTATGAATTTTCAGTATTGGTCTTTGACCAATCAGTTCAGTTCTAAAAAATATCTGATGTGAGAAGATTGATGTGATTGGCCCAAAAAACTATTAAAAACCAAAAACAAAACACCAAAGACCAGAACATGAATGTTTACACATTATTGGATTTTGAATCAGATATGCCAAATAATCTGAATTGGGATGCCTGTGTAAACACAGCCTAACATGCACACCACACACATAATGATCTTCCTTAACACACATACACACTACTTCCCTGAGTCCTCCCCCTACCTTTGGGTGTTGCCTCTGAAGTACATCCATCATCTGGGGCAGGGTTTGATGCTGGTATGGAGTTATAATCTCATCTATGTCGTTCAGCAGTACATAGCGTGACTGATACATATGTCTGTAGACACAGTCATTCAGTGTGGTCAACTGGCCGTAGTAGTGGATGTCCCCTCCATGTTCACTGGGTTGCCACCCACGGGACGGGCTCATGTGTTGGTCGATAGGCCAGGGCACCACCTGCAGTCAATCAATAAGTCAATTAATTAATCTTATCTATCTATCCATCCATCAAATCAATCAATTCCTACCTCCACAAAGCCCTCCTGTGTATAAATCTGTAGCAGTCTCTCCAGGTCTGGTCCACAGCTGGTGTTATACACCACAACATGCTGCACTCCCAACAACCTGCAATATAGCAATCAATTAATCAACCAATTGATCAATTGATCAATCAATTAACCAATCACTCAATCAATACCCACTTGTACATCTCCAGAGTCTGGGTGACCTGAAGCACGTTGTTATAATCACCAAATAAATTGGACCAACAGACAGTGAAGTTGAACTGAAACTCCTCTTCCTCCTTTTTCACAAGGTTCTGGATGCGGAGGAAGGATTGGTTCTGAGCGAGCTTGGCGTCAGCTTGTGTGGCGAGGGTCACGTGTGACGGGTTGCAGTCGGGAAGATTCGGACAAAGGACGTCGGTCGTCACGAAGGGGAAACCTTTATCCCAATACAGAACAGGGACACATATATTACAGTATAGGGAAATCTAAATCAACAAACTAATCAGCGAATCACCAAGCCCCTTATTTCATTAATTCAGGTGTTGATTCAGGTGTGTCAGTGCAGGGCTAAAACCAAATAGCAAATTGCAGGTACCAAAGTGGTCAGAGTGCATCTGGACTTCAGCCTTCATTCCATTAGCCCAGTGAGTCCCACAGTAGAACACACAGTACAGAGGCTGGACAGAGTCTCGTCTGAAGATACTGATGATGCGTACGGAGCATCCCGTCACACGATGTTCCTTGTAGGCCCCCACCATGAAGTGTTTGGTGTCGTTGACAGGCGTGATGGACTGGTCAGAGATGTGGCGCAGATAGAGGTGCTGGTGGTTGCCTGGCTGTGACCTGAGGAATCATGGACAGATGTTGTATTTCTACAGCAGAAATGTGTGTCCAAGACAATTTTTTCCTTTTGCCACTTTTATTATGTTTCTTGATCGTACGGCATAGTCTTCACGGTACCTGGACAATGTGAAGATGACGAAGACCATGACTACCAGAGCAGAAGCTATCAGTAGAGGGAACATACGCCTCTTCACCATCATGAGCCAGACCTGGGACGGTAGGTGGAGAGTGAGGTGACCTTTGAAGAGAAGGGAAAGTTAATAACGAGTGGCGCAGTGGTCTAAGGCTAGCTGTGCCACTAGAGATCCTGGTTCGAATCCAGGCTCTGTCGTAGCCGGCCGCGACCGGGAGACCCATGGGGCGGCGCACAATTGGCCCAGCGTCGTCCAGGGTAGGGGAGGGAATGGCCGGCAGGGGATGTAGCTCAGTTGGTAGAGCATGGCGTTTGCAACGCCAGGGTTGTGGGTTCGATAAAATAATGTATGTGCTAACTGTAAGTCGCTCTGGATAAGAGTGTCTGCTAAATGACTAAAATGTAAATGTAACGTAGTCGCACTTGCTCTCTGGCTGCGTTTACACAGGCAACCCAATTCTGATCCTTTTTCCCCACAAATTGGTCTTTTGACCAATCAGGTCAGCTCTTTTGCCCATAATTGGGCAAAAATTCAGAATTGGGCTGCCTGTTTAACCTCTTAAGGATCGGACCCTTTTTTAAAATTTTCGCCTAAAATGACATACCAAAATCTAACTGCCTGTAGCTCAGGACCTGAAGCAAGGATATGCATATTCTTGATACCATTTGAAAGGAAACACTTTGAAGTAAATTAATGTACATTTACATTTAAGTCATTTAGCAGACGCTCTTATCCAGAGTGACTTACAAATGGGTGCATTCAACTTAGGATAGCCAGTGGGACAACCACCACTGGGGGAGGGGGGTGTAGAAGGAATACTGTTAGACTATTCCAGGTATTCCTTAAAGAGGTAGGGTTTCAAGTGTCTCCGGAAGGTGGTCAGTGACTCCGCTGTCCTGGCGTTGTGGAGGAGCTTGTTCCACCATTGGGGTGCCAGAGGAGCGAATAGCTTTGTAGGAGGTATAACACATTAGATCTGGTAAAAAATTATACAAACAAAAAATACGTTTTCTATTCTTTTTTTTTTGTTCCATCATCTTTGAAATGCAATAGAAAGGCCACAATATAATATTGCAGTTTAGGCACAATATAGATGTTGGCCAGTAGATGGCAACAGTGTGTGTGCAAATTTTCAGACTGATTTTACATTTCAGTCATTTAGCAGACACTCTTATCCAGAGCGACTTACAGTTAGTGAGTGCATACATTTTCATACTGGCCCCCCGTGGGAAACGAACCCACAACCCTGGTGTTGCAAACGCCATGCTCTACCAACTGAGCTACACGGGACTGATCCAGTGAGACATTGCAATACTGGACTATTTTGTATCAAGTCTGCCCAAATGTGCTGAATTGGTCAATTGATAAATTTTCAAGTACATAACTATAGAGAACATACAAAAATGATACGGTAATGCAAAATGTAAGTTTACACACTCCCAGGAATGTCATACATGATGGATCATTAGCTTATACACTAACTTTCACACATCTAGATGGCCGGGTGGGGTGGGTGTGGAGCCAGAGACAGCAAGGGTTCAAACTGTAGAACCCAGTTCCTACATTTGAATATAACAATGGATTTTATCAAACAAAACTAGCTGACATGTATAGTGTTGAGTCATCCGCACACATAGACACACTGGCTTTACTCAAAGCCAGTGGCATGTCATTAGTAAAGATTGAAAAAGTAAGGGGCCTAGACAGCTGCCCGGGGGAATTCCTGATTCTACCTGTATTTTGTTGGAGAGGCTTACATTAAAGAACACCCTCTGTGTTCTGTTAGACAGGTAACTCTTCATCCACAATATAGCAGGGGTGTGAAGCCATAACACATATGTTTTCCAGCAACAGACTATGATCGATAATGTCAAAAGCTGCACTGAAGTCTCACAAAACAGCCCCCACAATCTTTTTATCATCAATTTCTCTCAGCCAATCATCAGTTATTTGTGTCAGTGCAGTGCTTGTTGAATGTCCTCCCCTATAAGCGTGCTAAAAGTCTGTTGTCAATTTGTTTACTGTAAAATAGCATTTTATCTGGTCAAACACACTTTTTTCCAAATGTTTACTAAGGGATGGTAACAGGCTGATTGGTTGGCTATTTGAGCCACTTAAGGGGAATTTACTATTCTTAGGTAGGGGAATAACTTTTGCTTCCCTCCAGGCCCGAGGGCACACACATTCTAGTAGGCTTAAATTGAAGATATGGCAAATAGGAGTGCCAATATCGTCCGCTATTATCTTCAGTCAGACCCCGGTGGCTTGTCATTGTTGATCGACAATAATTATTTTTTCACCTCTTCCACACTTACTTTACGGAATCCAAATTACAATGTTTGTCTTTCATAATTTGGTCAGATATACATGGATGTGTAGTGTCAGCATTTGTTGCTGGCATGTCATGCCTAAGTTTGCTAATCTTGCCAATGACAAAACAAATACTCAAGTAGTTCGCAATATCTGTGGGTTTTGTGCTGAATGACCCATCTGATTCAATGAATGATGGAGCGGAGTTTGCCTTTCTGCCCAAAATTTCATTTAAGGTGCTCCAAAGCTTTTTTCTATAATTCTTTATGTCATCTATCTTTGTTTCATAGTGTCATTTCTTCTTATTTTTATTCAGTTTAGTCACATGATTTCTCAATTTGCATTACGTTTGCTAATCGGTTGTACAGTCAGACCTATTTGCCATCTCTTTTGCCTCATCCCTCTCAACCATAAAATGTTTCAATTCCTCATCAATCCACGGGGATTTAACAGTTTTTACAGTTATTTTCTTAATGGGTGCATGCTTATTAGTAACTGGGATAAGCAATTTCATAAATGTGTCAAGTGCAGCGTCTGGTTGCACGTCATTACACACCACAGACCAACAAATATTCTTTACATCAACAACATAGGAATCCCTACAAAACGTATTGTATGACCTCTTATACACAATATTAGGCCCAGCCTTTGGAACTTTGGTTTTCGTAGATATGGCTACTATATTGTGATCAATACATCCGATGGATTTGGATACTGCTTTCAAACAAATTTCTGCAGCATTAGTAAAGATATGATCAATACATGTTGATGATTTCATTCCTGTACTGTTTGTAACTACCCTGGTAGGTTGATCGATAACCTGAACCAGGTTGCATGCACTAGTTACAGTTTGAAGCTTTCTTTTGAGTGGGCAGCCTGATGAAAGCCAGTCAATATTTAAATCACCCAGAAAGTATACCTCTCTATTGATATCACATATATTATCAAGCATTTCACACATGTTATCCAGACTCTGACTGTTAGTACTTGGTTGTCTATAGCAGCTTCCCACCAGAATGGGCTTTAGGTGAGGCAAGTGAACCTGTAGCCATATTACTTCGACAGTATTTAACATGAGATCCTCTGTAAGCTTTACAGGAATGTGGTTCTGAATATAGACCGCAACACCGCCCCCGTTGGCATTTCTGTCTTTTCTGTAAATGTTATAACCTTGTATTGCTACCACTGTATCATCAAAGGTATTATCTAAGTGAGTTTCAGAGATTGTCAGAATATGAATGTAATCTGTTACTAGCAAATTATTGATTTCATGAACCTTGTTTCTTAAGCTTCATATGTTATCGTGGGCTATTTTTAACACTTTTCTGGGATGCTTGATTATTTTTCTTGCTTTACTGGGAAGCTTAGCAGACATAGACATACTTGGGTTATTTTTATTAGTGCAGGGTGAGCTGCACACAGTGGACTTCCTACTAGGGCACACCACCTCAGTGCTAACAGTATTACTCTTGTTCATGGCATATGAGTACTGCATACAATAGCTGTAGGATCAGCAGAGGCATTCCGGGCAGTAAGAGGGACATAAATTAGGTTATTTACATTGTGTCTTCCAACGCCCCTAGGATAGTGTACATTTGCTGAATCATTATGACAACTCAGCGACACAATGGTAGGGATTAAATGAGCTAGACTTGGGTCATTGGTAAGTAATTGTCTCAACGCAGCCTTATCATGCTGTGAAAGGATCCAGGAACCCAAATAATTTGTGTGGATCCCATCCTCCTTATAATACAAGCTTTGTTTCCAGAAGGTGTCAAAATGGTCAATAAATGTTACACCCACAGAGCTGCAATAGTCTTGTAGCCAGTTATGGAGGGCTAAAAGTCTGCTGAACCGTTCAATGCCATGATTTAGGGAGGGCAGAGGGCTAAAAGTCTGCTGAACCGTTCAATGCCATGATTTAGGGAGGGCAGAGGGCTAAAAGTCTGCTGAACCGTTCAATGCCATGATTTAGGGAGGGCAGAGGGCCAGATATTATGGGGTGTTTGTTGGTGTCAGGTGGATACATGCATGACATGCAAAATACTGTATCTAATGACACTCAATGGGCCTCAAGTTCAAGTTTAAACTTTCTGCGTTGTTTGTCCCAGAGAGGGCAATAGTTGCTTTGCAGCAGGGGAGCACCTATGTCATAAAAAACATATAAAATCCACATGGACCAGAATGGAAATGACAGCAAGGGACCACAAGGGAAATAAGTAATTGACTTTATTGTATTATCTCTGTCTAGTTTTGTGCTGTGTGTATGTATTTCTTAAACTTTTTGCCCTCCTATGAAAAAAGTGCCCTTTTGATTGGTAGTGGGTTTTTTTAACAAAGTATTTTGTATATAATTGTTGGTCTCGTTTCTCTCTTGTACATTTAAATGCAACGAATTGTCCTTCAAACTACATAATCTCTCAGAATGAAGGAATCTTTTTTTTAAAGTCCCCTCCCCCGCCCTTCTGCCACCGCCAGCACTAGTGCGCTGCTCAACTCATCCTGCATGGTTACTTCATCCAATTCCTATGCTGTTATACGACCGGGTAAGATGTA